GGGTGTAGCTGGGATCGATTCCGTGATTCGACGACAGTCAATCATGGCGGTAAGGGCTTTGTCACAGAGTCCCTTGATATTGAGTTCATGACCAAGCTTCCAGAGTCCAACAAGAGCCTCGTACGATGGGAGATTGGCCTCGTCCGCAATCACCTTGTCCATGTAAAGAAAGTGCTGAGCCAGTCCAAATATCTCCTTTGTGGTCTCAGGAAGCCTGACTATGTGCTCAATCTTGTCATCAGGTTTGGTTTCTGAAAAGTGCTTTTTGTAGAATTCGGATCGAGAGCAGAGGAAATCCTTCTGCATACCGAAAGGAGTCTCATCAGGACCAACGAGGATGATGACGAACGTGGGATGCGGTTCGCTACTTGATGTCAATATGTGTTCAGAGAAGGGTGTCAATAAACGTACAGCCAGGAGAAGGGCTTCTTCTCGACTTTGACATCTTCAACCTTGGTCTCCATGGGAACTGGGGCACGAACCTCTTCGGTTTGAGTTTCGGTCATGATGAAGAGATTAGGTGCGAAGACGTTCTCCCACAGAAGATTTGGTGTGGAAAGCAAACTATCGAAGTCTTGAACTGAGTCGAGTGACTGAACAGATCTGAATCAGTGGTAAGCCTGGAACCTTATTCACGGACAACCGAGCAGTGGCACGATGGCAATGCCAGGAGGGTGAAGCAATTATATGCAGAACAACCTCAATAGACTTCTACACCGATTGAACATGAAATTCGAGTCTCAGCCTCGCCGAAGATTCCGCAATTTTGAGAAAGAGTTTGATGTAGTGCAATAGGGAGGCCATCTTACCCGAGTCTTCTTTGCTCTCATCCACCGCTCGTTTCGCCGTCTCTTAAAGTCTTGTGTCAGATGAAACGCATCTGAAGATCTTCAGATATAAGATATCTCTAGATTTTGATGTCGATTGATGAAGAAGGACGGCAAATGATGAGTTGAACTTAAACTTCGCTTCTGCCCTGATTCAAATGAATGTGAAGCTAAGAGAGAAGTCGCGATGAGATTGTTGGCCAATAAGATCACGGGACGACTACAAAGAGGGATCGGCCTGCAGATTGTCCGTTTCCGGCTCGACAGTTACCCTAGATCTATTATTTTGACATCCAATTCTCGACGAAGACTTAGTATCACAGTCAACAACTTTGAGTATATGTTATGAAATATGCTGCTATTGATTTGTTGACTATTACAGATATAAAGTAAAGGATAATTGTGCTGTGCGTTGTAGGGGGGTTTTGTTCGATTACTGTCTTCCTTGGCAGCACTCGATGCCATACTGCACCCTCGACGTTATTTTCGTACAACCAGTCTGGTTTACCTGAAGCCACTCGTCTTCACGTGCAACAATTATTCGGAAATCCAAGCCTACTGATAATATCCCCTACACCCGTGCATGAAGGTCAAAACAAGTAACTGGATTCTGTCGTACGATCTTGATCCATGTCTCGGAATACTCTGAGCTTCACAGTAAGTCCCAAATAGATACCGACCACATGCCGAGAGTATCTTATAATGACAATGCCCGCTAATATCAGAAGCATCGGGGAGTTGTTACTTGTTTATTCTATCACCTATATATGTACCACACTGAGTATAGTACTGGACATGGCTATGGAAGATGCTCAAACCAGGTAGCAAGTCCTAGACGAATTGTTCAATCAGCAGACTTGCCAGGCACATCTGGATGTGTCATGCAAGTCCCTTTGCGGCTAGCTGAGCTCGAAGCTTCTATCCAAGCTCATGAATAACATTAATGCAGTTGGGTTGGTGTATCAAACCGAATGGAGAAATGGCATGGTCAGTGATCGTGCAGTACTCAATCTCAACATGATCGCCAGTACAGAGATCCATGTGGCAACAGAACAATAATCGAGCCAGTAAACTACGACCTGGAACGCGCTCCAAACATGCGATCCATTAGGATCCGCAAAAGAGCTTACGACAATCTGTGAGCTGTAACACAATGCAGCCTGAACCACATCTCTCAGCGACCTGAGGAAACAAAGATACAGTACACGTATCCAGGCGAACATATAAGCTCGCTCCTAGGGGTATAGAATAACGAGTCTGTTTTCCGTGGGGACCCCATGGTTTCTCATCCCCAGGATCATACTGTCAGGCTGCTATCTATTCACGGGGAGTCTGGGGACAAAGCTGCTGACTGATTGATGCGCATACATAGTCGGCAAACCGAATGTTGAGCCGGACTACTAATATAGAATATCGATCACGCGTTATTCAAACCACCAGAGTCCGGGTGCCCGGTAATGGGACCGCAGTTGATTCTATCCGTTGCGGAGTGCCGAGGAAGTTGTTCCGGATGATACGATCGCACAGTTCGGTGCCAAAACCCTTGTTCCACATCACGCGATATTGTCCGCAGTCTTCATGATGCCCAGCCATGGACAAGTTCCCCAGAGCTCAATGTAGCACCAGTATCCATAATTACACATGTACAGATGGACACCGGGGGAAAAGCAAAACAAAGACAGGAGAAAACCAAGTGGAAGAATGCGGTGCATTTCCCGTGGGGTCAATGTAGCAAGATCGTCGGCCATCTGCCGTGCATATGCCGATAAGGCATCCAAGTTGGAGGTCCACGGAAAGCAAGGAACCAACAACCGTGATTGGAAGTATCAAGTGCTCGAAATCCCGGGGCACTTGAAAGATCAGGCCAGAAGCTGGTCAGGGCGCATGCTGCAACATTCCACATCTCGCGGGGTTCGCCTTGCTACAGCTTCAAGGCATTTCACCGACAATCCTCGATTGGATGAGCAAATTGACTGAGGCGGTACCTAGCCCCGTCAACCCACTAGGCCTCGCAACCCTCAACAAGCGACGACGACATGCCTGATATCGCAAGTTCTCTGCGTAGAAAAGTCGCTGTTGCAGTGGTTGGGGATATCTCCGACAAGTTATCCGTTACCATCGGCCCATGCTGATGAATGATCGTCTGAGTGCCTTGTAGATATACCCTGGTCTTGAATGGATACTCTTTTCACACACAACTGAATGATGCATGTTTGCCTAGGTATGGAAACGAGTTGACCCAGGCACTGATATGGGAAATAAAATCAACGACAAGCATTTGAGTCGTGACATAGGTATAGTACAACAGTAAAAAGTTCAATGCACCTTAAGCCGCTCGCTGCCGTGAGCAATTGCCTGTCGAAGCCTACCTATGTGAATTCTGAGGCTGCTGAATTATACACCGCTGGCCCTGTACTTATCCACAACCTTCCAAAATGGAAGTTGTTCAAGACGTATGGGGGAGCATGGGTCGCCAATTGATCTGTGTCGTATCTGAAGTGTCTTGAGTGCGACAAATATTTGAGCAAAGACCAACAAATTTCCATATCGCGGGCATGTCTCGGCACGACTGTAAACCGTAGTCCCATAGCATTGTGAAGCAGAGACTAGTGGGCTTCTAAAGCAGCATCCAATCCAATCCAATCTCGGCCCAACTTGCGTGAATCCCAGATCGTGAGATCTGTCGTGGGCCTGAAGTCATGCTAGTGCACATCCCGTATTCTGTGCAGCGAAGAAAGCCAAGTCATTGGTGAGAATGCAGATGCGATTCAACAAGAAAAAGCCACGACGGCGGTGTGTAGTCAACCGTCCGCAAACCCGTGAAATCTCCAAGACCCCTGGTGCCTGGCATGGGTTCAATTTTCTCTCTCTTTTTACTTCACTTCCAGATAGCCGCCATAAATGTTGGTGACTGATTTGTTGAGTGGATGAACACGCAATGCTGAACCCCCTTGGTCACAAATATCGCACTTAGCCCGGATGGGACTCATCTGGTATATTCTAAATCAACACGCAGACCGTCGTTATTGGAGGCTTGGTGTTGATTTATCCACAACAACAGAGCACACTGGGTTTCAAGACTGCGCATTGTATCCATAATAAGAAAGCAAAACACGGGTTTGCATTGCGCATGCTGTTGCATGCATTGAATGCGCCGTAGTGTAATATCGCTGGCTTCGATATGCACGGCAAACCATTTCAAGTCAAGGGCCATTGATACTTAATAAAAGTTGCGCAAGATGGTCGCTGTACATGTACATAAGACAGACGGTGATAGCACCATCCATGTTGGGAACTGCTGCGTCATTCGTCGAGCCAGCCATGCTTCTATGCATATTCTCCCGGGCTTCTTTTCTCCAAACACTTAGCTTTTCACTTCAAGACATTGAGTGTCCACGTTTTCTTCAGCAAAATCGCCACCGTCAATGACACAAAAATAAGGGACGTAAAGAAAATCTCGGGGATGAACGTATCAGGAGCTTTCAACAACCAGGTCGGGTCGGAAGGGTGGTGTGTGTGTACAAAACCCGGGGCCAGAAACAAGCGCACAAGTATCTTTTCCCCGTAGGTACTTCAAGATCCCCTTCATAGAGCGACCGGCCCGGTGGAGCACGCACCTCCAAGCGCCACGTTAGTAGAGTAAAACCTCCGCCAGCCGCCCAACCGTTGTTCATTCTTGGGTGACCTGGATGGAGAAACGCCAAGCAAAGCTATGCTTGTTTGGGGGAGCTAGGTCCTGGGGTTGTGTGTTCGTAGAAAATTCTTAACCTTCGAGAAGCATGTCCTCGTCCGGGGACCATGAAGCATGACGAAATACCTCCCACCACGAACCACGATGCTTAACCTCATCAGACTACGGCCGGACTTGCCCGAAGCTTCTTGGCAACCCGATCATGGCCCAGCAAGCATGATGCGCGGCTTTATTGTGGCTCCCAGCAATCCCAGTTTGCGCTGTTTTCTTGCTCAAGGCGGAGCCGCCATGGCTATTTGATAAAGGGGCTCGAGTTTTCCTTCATTTCGCTCCGTGGGGATATCTTGACTTCTCCGTCCCGCTGTGAGGCTCTGCCCATACCTGGTGAGACTGCTTTGCAGTCTGGAATGCTCGGTGCTTCACCAGCGCCGAGACTAACCCCCCAACAATCCCCAGACTCCACCTAGACTCCGTCCAGAGCCTCATTTCATGATCGATTCATCATCAGTGACAGGCTCTTCTTGTTCGCTGTTTTCGTCTTCGCTTTGACCGATGTCTTGGCCCAGAATGAGGTCTTCACTGCCTTGCCACTGAGGCGGAGGCGCCGGCATGGCCGCTTCATCTTCATCTGCCCATCCGTAATCCTCGTCATCGTCACTATCAGGAACCTCGAGTTCTGTTTGTCCAAGCTTTCGCTTATGTCGGGCTAGCTCAAAAGTTTGTAATGCTTCGTAGGGAACCTGGCTGACCCCGTCCTGGAACCATCATGTAAGTATTTGCTGGCTTGAGGATTCGGTGCCTGACAGAACTTACCAACTCCACTTTAAATGCGACAACGTTCTCCATGACCTCCGGGCATGCCTTTCCGTCCAGTTTTTGCAGACCTGCCAGGAAGACGCTTGTAAGATTGTTCTCTTGCCAGGCCCAGTCTCGAAACATGACAAGTCGAGTTGAAATCCCTTGTTCCCATACACTGGCATTGACCGCGGCTGTCAGCGTTGCACCCCTTTCTGAATGCATTTTCGTGGCACACTGAGACAGAACCACAACTGCACAATTTCTAGTTGCAGCAAGCTTGTGAAGGGCATTCACGATCGAAAGCAATGCTTGTGTTCGCTTTGCAGATGGACTTGGACCTGTGCAAACATTAGCCAGACTCTGCAACGACGAGAACGTTCACATATACCCTTGTTGCTCTTAGATGTAGCCTTGCCATCGTGGGACTTTGGCAAGGCGGAGTTGACCAATGCAGATAGCGAACTGATGACCATTAATGAGCAGTTGTGTGGAATCAGCTTGGCGGTAGGCCGTGACACGAGAGCAACCAAATGGGGTAGAGTGAAACATGAGTAATGATAGAATCGACTAGAGTCTCCAGAAGGAGACTCTGATGCATCGTGCGCTGCATCTGCTTGACTGTTGCGACGAGTTTTTGCTGTATTAGTCACTGCCCGAAGTCTGTCGTGCTGCAAAACTTGAAAACAATCTACGAGGCAAGGGTAAGCTTGGGTCTTTGGAAAGGATGAGAATGTTGGATCGGAATCAACAGACCTACCCAGACAACAGCATCGCCATCACATAATGCGTTTGCTGTAAGCTGCAGCCTATCCTACAAGTCAGCTCCATGGCTATACGGGGCAACAGCCAACTCACCCCAATGCTGTCTTGCCAGCACCAGGGGGACCCCAGATCTCCGTGACCTGGCCGCGTTGAACACCACCTTTGGTAGTGTCTTGAGAGTCAGCGGTTATATTGGCAATAAGGGAACGATCTAAGTCCTCAATCCCAGTAGAGACATGAGTTGACGCGCTGTTATCAAGCTCGTCAAGAGCCTGTGAAGCTGATATTGTTGGAAGTCGGTCTGTTGTCAAGTAAGCTTTGACTCTATATCGTAGGACTTATGACAAAACGAACGCGTGCCGGGTGTATCGAAACTTGCTCTATCATAGCCGTGAATTGAATGGTAATCCATGTCAGCGAGCACTAATCCTCATTGCGATACGATGTTTGGTAGATTTGCCTTGAGTCCATCTAGGCATCTACAAGTGGATCTTCCTTTACACAGTCCAAAGTCTTGCGCGTGATTGGCCAAGAGTCACATGACGAGCCAGTCTCCTACAACTTCCATTCCACCCGTCCGCCGACTACTAAGGTAGTACATAGTACGGAGTATGTAATTGATTACCAATGATGCCTTCAAGTCTGCTAACAATATAGGTAATTCTGTGATGTGACATCTGCTCCTGTTTTGGAAGCTCTCGAGAATAGGTTTCCCGAACGAAATCCAGTGGTTGTGGCAAGCGAGTTGCTTAGCTTAACAACATCAGATCACCACGAATCAGCACGCTATGTTCATACTTTTACTCTACCTATATTACACAAGCTCTGGTGCTCGCCTCTCATATTTGTTGGACCCTAGGAATTCGACAAACTGTTTGAACATTGTATAGAACTCGCCTTCGCAATTGTCGATACGAGTATCTTTGAGGGATGGATGGATTAGGAAAGGTCGAAGTCGTGGGGGAGTTGCAGACTCTGCAGTCGAGCTTTTTATAGCTCTTTAGCTGGTCAAGCAATGTGTTTATTATGATTAGAGTTGCTTAAGATACTGCAGCCTAAAGGTAACCTTATTGATTAAGTTTACTGAGACTTCAGTCTGGCCAGAGACTTTATTGTTGATACTTTTGTAGCTGTTATTGGAATACCTGGATCCCATTTATTGGTCGTTACTGGGTCAAAGCTAAATAAAAGTATAGAACTCGCCTAAAGCATTTAACTATCGGTTACAAACATTTTAGTTGCTGTAAAGTGGTGACTGTCATCGTAAGACGTGCGTTGTCACATACTTCCCTCTTTAGCTCGTCGTTAGGAACATATGTGATGAGATTTGGGTGACATCTACGGAGTAGGACGGCATGCTTTCCCGTCGTCCGCAGTGTGCACAGAAGGTCAATGATGTTACATGTACGGTTGCGGGTTGCTAACCTACCATAACATCTCCGATGCAGGAGCCAGACACAAGATAGCGCGGCATGATCTACCATGGCATGGTAGATCACCTTGACTCGAGTAGCCGATCCTCACATACCAGAAACGGTTATGCCACACATCTCTCACTCCCGTCTAGATCATGGGCTTTCCGCGGGAGGATCCTGTGGGGAAATTGACGCTACCCCATCCTCTCGACCCCAGACGAGAAGCGAAAATTTCAAGTCACAAGGTTTACAGTCTTGGGCCACGATAGGAGAGTACCGTTGAGGCACCGATATCAGGAAACCGAGCCGTATCGCCGTTGAAGGAAATGCAAGCAAACGGAATGGAGTATGATGTGGTATTCTTGAATCTTCCGATACCATGCTTGGAAGGACTTGCTCATTGGTGGCGGTGCTCGCATTGCATCAGCACATGCCTGTCCCCAGTATTTGCATCTTCTACGAGTACGAGTATTCAAGTGATGGGGCAAAGTGAACCTGACGCGCAAACAGTGACAAGTCAAGCTTGACCTTTGGATCGTCACTGATATCTGAACTTCAAGTTCACTTGTTTATAACCCTGCCGCCCCACATTGATTAAGCTGCAACACCTCCGACTTAGCGCCGCCATTTCCGAGCTTTTGTAAGAGTCTATCTGTGGGTTTACTCCGTATCTATTTGTCAATCTCGTCACAACGAGGCTTATAAGGGTGGTCGTGCACTGGAGACATCAAGCAAGACTCGTGTCATGGACAAAATGTCTCATACGGCTAGATACGGCGGGTCCCAATAGAGCTGCAAGGTACCATGCCCTGGAAGTCGTGGAACACCATCCTTGGGGGTTTCCTGTTAGACCCTGGGGGGATTATGGAGAGAGGCATGTGAAAGCCAGAGTGCCTGCCTGGTCGCTCGAGATTTGCTGAGGGGCCATACTACGTCGGCAGTCCGAGGGCCAAACAGGCCAATGTTTTTGACAACGGATGAAGCCATAGCAAATTCATGCAAATTTTGCGGGGAACATGTGATTTCGGCGCTATCAATCATCTCACCGAAGGGCCCCCTCCGACGATGTCAGGATGGTGTTGATTAAAAGGCCGAGTACTCTACTGTGCGCAGGCCTATCTCATTAAGCAGATGGAACAGTGCATGCACGGCTCGGCCAATATCGGGTTCATGAAGGGGAATAGCGGGAATTGAGAGCAAACAAGCTGTGCTGTCAGGGCAGTCAGTCAGGCTGTGTCGTGCCCCCACGATGCAACGTTGAAATGAGGGTCCAGTTTGGGATCAAGATTTCCTAACCACAATTTTATTAGGCCCTTTGGCTCTGAGTTGTGCACGAGTTCCATCGTCTTGCTCAATTACCCGCTTGAATACCATTGGTGATAGGTAACAGTGATAAGGCACCTTTAACCTCCCTGATTGGGTCTAGTCCAGTTCTCAATGAGCCGCAGGCTTTCTGCAAGGGGCGCCAGTGTCTTTGTGCATGCAAAAAGCTGGAGCCCCGCAGAGAGCTTGTCTGTTGTTGGCCAGAGATCTAGGCCCCTGAAAGGCTGAATCTTTGAAGAGGAGCCGCCTCTCGCGAGCCAAGCCACCAACACCTTGCGAACAAAGAACTAGTCATTGAATTCTGTACCTGGATGGCTTTCATCTCTACTGACTAACGCAGCGACAACACACCAATTGCCGCACCACGTGGGGCAAGACCTTGACTGAGCGCTGTCGACTCAGGCAGGCCTGCTCAGATCCGAACCGAGATGACTGCCCCCTTGGTGTTTTCGGGCCTTTCGCTGGCTCGGCTATACAACTCAGGGCCTCGAGTCAAAGCAAAACCCAGAGGCCCCAGACAGGCAGCACTGAAAATACAATCCACTATGAGTATCAGACAGTAATAGCCTTGCATCTGGGAGGAAGAAAACTTCTGAGTTGAGGCAGGCTGCCAGAAACACCAAGTCTAAGATCTACTAAATCTACAATACGTCTATGTTGAACCTGAGCAAGTCTTCTTGTAGCCTATGCCACAAGTTTGTTGTTTTCTTGCCTGGCCTAGCCTTGGTCCGCTGCTCCTCGACAGCTTCAAGGCCGTGACCAAAGCGTTGCTCAAGAGGTGATGAATGATAATTATTGCTACATCGTTGACGGTCATCAAACATATCAGCTTCTCGGCCCTGCGGCTGTGAATCTTAACCAGTTACTTGGATTCAGGGCGGGCGCATTGGCCTCAGCGGCAAGACATGGGTTGCCGCATCTCGCATGTAAACGCATTAGGTGGCTGTTATCGGCCATATCAACATGCGCATCCAATGAGCAACATTGAAGCTACACGATATGGGTTGGGGAAATAGCCGCAGGCATTGAATAAAAATCGGAGATCTTACTATGTATGCCGCCGAGTCTAGGGCGTAGGGGTAGGGTTTGTGGGCCAGGTAAGGGTCTGCGACAAGCTGGGTAATTCCGCCTCGTTATCACGACATTTCGCTCATGAATCCATTGTCCTTTTTTGGAAACACTCTAGTGCCTCAGGAGCTGCAATGACCTTTGTTACGGGTATATCCATGTGTTTTTGACCGCAGCAGTTGCTGGCATGCAACAACAATCAGCGAGGCAAAGAAGAGCTTCAGCCGCTCAAGACTACAGTATGCAGATGCATCAGGCCATGGCGAATCTGGAAGGCATCTGAACTCCGGGCCGAAGTCGAGGGTACAGGCCTCAAGGGTCTGTTTTGTTATTTTTAGGCCCACTTATAGGTATCTCGCCACAGCTTAGGTATTCCCCTTAGGCTTGATTGGCGTTGTACAGACGCTAACAAAACAGACCCTTGAGGCCTGTATGCTTCCAAGTTCCATGCAGGCGGTGTTCGCCGTTCCGAATCACCGAGGGCCAGGATAAGATCTTAGATCAATCCCCCGGAATTGCCGCAATTAGGCTAGTTTGCCTGGGATTATCACCCAGCATCAGGCACTCAAGTCCGGGGCGCCATCGCACAATGGGAAGCTGGAGAAAGATGGGGTACAGAGCCTCCCAGTGCCTACATAGGAACTAGGCTAGGGTGCTGGTCTGGGGGTCGGATTGCCTTATCTGCTCACAGGAACGGGATTGACTGGTCGCTCGGGAGGTCAAACGACGAGGTGGCGTACCAGGGTCACTGACAGACCAACATGCCGTCGCAGTTGGCGGAAGCCGGGAAGCAAAGAACAAAACATGTGCAAAGGCGGCACGACGTTTTCAAAAGGGCATGCTCAGAGTTTCTAACCCGCCATTGAAGCCCCTGGGGGGGCTCAGGTTGCCTTCGGTTTACCAGAAGCGACCATCTGGCTAGGGTTAGGGGATCATATCAGTCAAGTTTTGCTTATCACGGCCTGTGATTGGAACTCTGAGAGTTTAGACACCCCTGAGTATCAGTAGTGTTGGCGACTAGGCCAAAACTCTGATCAGACGTGGAATCTGGGGAACATGTTGCCATCGATCCGCCGAGCCGCAGCTGCAGCCAGAAAAAATGCCTAGATTTGGACAGCCGCTATCTGGAGCCTGGGGCCATAGACTAACTTAGAAAACAGGGGAATATTGCTATTTCACGTCAAGTTTGGAGTTTGGAATGGATCTCGACTTATCTCGTGATGAGGTTGATTGCGGAGATTTGCATGGGGGCGGCTCTATCTAGACCTTGGACCGGCAAATCAGGAGCGTCAGCAATGAGGAGATTATCCGGGGATGGGGATAAAGGCGTATGGGGGAGGCGAATTTTGAATTAACAAGATGAGCAACCGGGGTAAACTAATCTGTTTGTCACGGACGGGCGATTATTAACTTAAGAATGTCTTAGAGTCGCGACTCGTGAGGCGTCCGCTTATGGGTTTATCTTTGCTCATCAAATGGTCTAGCCCCAAGGGTACCGAAACACCGTACAATGCCGCCGAGGACCATCGACAACTGACGATAAGAACCTGGACAAGTGCCAAGGAGTAATCACCCACCCCCAGACGACGGCTTGAGACGGAGCAGACTGACTCTGGGGAGCGCGCTTGTCGCGGTGAATGGTCCGATTATACTGGGGCTCAATATGAAGATAACACCACTTGAAGCGCAGCCGATGGTGAACGAACTGGTCTCGCTCTTGTGTGCTCAGAAGATATCAGAGTTTAGGCCTATGTATGTATGTACATACAGTACTGTGCGGAAGGGCTCTTGGGAGTCTGGCAAATTGGTACTGATAAGCTCGGATGATGGATGACTGACTGCCGGCTGACTGATACGTTGCGTAATTCAACAGTTGGCAACGTTTCGTCATCATGGAACAAACATTGCTGCAACTGATACGAGAGCCAGTCATTGATTCAAGCTATGAGGCCCCCCGTCAAGGCTTCCAAGATGAGCCTTCATCATTCTGGTCCATGATTCTTTCGGTTGCGTGCTTATCATGATCAGCTGAGAGAGTGATTAGCCGGGAAAAGGCCAACCCCACAAAGACTAGGCTTTCAAACACCAAGGCTATGCGGACAAATAGCCGAGCGATATCGCAAACCAAGCCACAGGTGTTTTGGCGCATTTTACTGCTCGGATCCTACATCTTGGGTCCAGAACAGTCTCTGTTTGGTGTTGGCGGCGGCCATGGCGGCTTTGACATTGATAGATAGCATGAGGATCATTGCCTCAAATCTGGGGAGAAAAGTGTGAGTGGACTTCTGGGGTAATAGATTTGATGCTAGTCAAAGACTTACACGAAAGCGAAAGCGTGACCCTCGTGGAGCGCAAAAGATAGTGCCGAGATGAAAATTCAATCTCAACTGAATGAGAAACCATTGGATGCCAAGAAGGGTCAACAATCAGTGGAGTGGTACTTGTGAAGCATCGTGAGCTCCATATCAGGTCAAGACCCATGAGAGATAGGTGGGTGTACTGTCGACTACGTCCCTGGGAGGTTCCACTATAGCTCAGGGCTAGCTATCGTAGCATGATCCCTAGCCTGACAGAACGGAGCAAAGGAGAAACTGGGGAGGACGCCGCTGCGTTATCTGCGTTATAGGTAGGTGTTGCAATTGGTAAGCTATGCTGTGGTATGGCATGATGAAGACATGGTCCTGGAAGTACAGGTCCGACGTTACAAACGGACGATTACGTACAATTGGTGGCTATCACGACATTGGTTACTGACGACTGAGTCAAAGAGCATGACAAAATGTGCACCGCCGAAATGACTGAAGGATACTGATAGGGATCGACATGTAATTTTGTCTCTTCTCGAGCCTCACCCACGATAATCCCAAATAGTGGATTTGTCTACGGATGCTGATATAAGTAACCCGAGGTTGACGACCCACGAGTCAATCAGTCTTGTGGTAGAATACACTAAAAGAAAAATCAGATAATAAAACAAACAACAATACATAGTGGAAAACACAGTCGGAGCCGCTCGATGGAATGAAGGCCAATCAGTTGAGCACGACATACTGATGCCCCATGCTCCGGCCCGGCAAAAGCGTGCGAACGTAAGAGCCGACGGAGAAAGTCACGGTGAAGTGGAGCGTTTGAAAACTCTCACCGTCGAGCTTCTTCAGGCCATAAGAGCCAGAAAGGATTGGGACTATTCAAGCGGACCAATGAGACTGGAGAAGTCAAGTCCCCACATTCACAACTGAAAAAAGGGCCAAGGTGAGAAAAAGCTGTCGGCGGTCGGGACGTAAAAGCCGAGGTGATCAAAGATAGAGCAGACAGAGGAGAGAATCGGGGCATGCTCGGCCAAGGGGAGTGGAAAAGTATGTCCAGTAGGTATCTTGGCCAGAAAGGAGTGACGTTGGAGTTCCCCAGTTTACCCGTCCGTCTCCCCCAGGCCCGTGTCGCGCCGACAAGGTATGACTATGACTCGCTCTATTTTGCCTTTCTTCCCTTCTGGGGTCGGATAACGATAGCGGGAGATCATTCTTATCGTCGCACTGCGGATACAGAGCCAGGTATAATAAAAACATGGAGAAGTGAACAGATAGGCCACTTGAGAGGAATAGAATCGCTCAAACTAGGTCGCATTGGGCAGAGACAGTTGGCCTTCCTCATGCAGAAACACTTGTATGTTGTGTTGTGCTGTGCTGTGCTGTGCTGTGCTTAGCTGAGCTGTCTTTTTCTCTCTCACTCTCTCACTGTGACTCTTATGCCCCCCCAAGGATAAGGCCCGAAGAACGGGGCTCATGTTCCAGAGCCCCAGTTACACCTTCCATAGGAGCCTCCTGCTTCTCCCGCTGGGGTAAGAGAAGAAAAAGGTGGAGGGGCAGGCACAAAAACTGGATACCCGCAATACCTACGCCCCACGCCCCGTACTGCCTCTGTTCCCTGAGATTGGATACACCCCCTTGGAAGTAGTTGATAGACACCCCCAAGCCCAAGCCAAGCACGCCAAAAGCGAGCACGCCAAAAGCGAGCAACGTAAAAAAAAAAAAAGAAAGGAAGAAAAAAAAAAACTAAACTGACGGAGTCCACAATGGGGCCGCCCACGGGGCCCTCCAACTAAAATCAGTGGACTGCTCCCCTGTAGCGGTAAACCGGACCCTCTAGTGACGTTCCTCTGTAGGCGCTCGCCCTTCTGTTTTACCGCTGCCTGACCTTGCGGGCTCAGTTTCTCCCAGCAGGTATCCTCAGCAGGTACCTACAAGCCATCGTGGTGCCCTCGGACGTGGGGTGAACAGGGTGTGTGTGATGTGGAAGGGGGTGTCCTCGCTGGCCCTTCCCGTCCCTCGTTCCCTCTCTTTCCCCTCCACCCTCGCTCCATTCGCGCCTCCCTCTCTGTTCGTCGACGTCGCAGTGCAGTGCGTGCTTCTAGTGCCGAGCCCGGCATCTTTTATAACCTTCCAATCCCCCCATCCCCTCCATCCTCCAGATTTCCGTCCTTTCCAAATATCTACATTCGATCTTCCAGCTTCCCCGGAACTTGATTCCTCCACCAAGTCGTATCAACTTCCGAGATCTTAATCGAAGGATACTCTCATTCAGCACCAGGCCGAACAACATCTACAACTACAACCCTAACAACCACCACAACCTGAACGATATACCCGTTCACACACAACGATACACCATTATCTCGACGACACTGGAGTTACTCCACCACCTCAGCCAACCTCAATAACAATTACTTTGTTGAGAGTTGGGTCTTCCAGACGTCTATCACATGCAACGAGCACAGTCGGCCGTGGATTTTTCCAATCTACTTAACCCCACAGTTCCGGCTGATAAGGAATCCGAGAAACCCCATCAGGGCGACGTCGAGATGGCTACGGCAGCAGTTACCGTTATCAAGCCCAATGGCCCCCTTCCGGGTGTCCAGAACTCGGAAAACTCAAATGAGTTGCCCCGACCTTACAAGTGCCCTCTCTGCGATAAGGCCTTCCACCGCCTCGAGCATCAGACTCGACACATCCGCACTCACACTGGAGAGAAGCCTCACGCCTGCCAGTTCCCCGGCTGCAGTAAGAAGTTCTCTCGATCTGATGAGCTCACACGCCACTCTCGCATTCACAACAACCCTAACTCAAGGCGAGGTAACAAGGCGGCCCAAGCACACCAGCAACAGCACCAAATGCACCAGCAGCAGGGCCTTCCGCCTCATATGATGCCCGATGGAATGATGGCGCCGCCTCCCGCGCCCAAGACCATCCGCTCCGCCCCTGGCTCCGCACTTGCTTCACCCAATGTGTCTCCTCCTCACTCCTACTCTACCTTTGCTCTGCCCGTTTCTGCGGTTCACTACAACCGCGGCGGTGACATTTCCATGCTGGCCAAGGCTGCCACTCAGGTTGAGCGTGAGACTCTGACTGCTCCTCCTCACCACAGCAACAACCACCGTCATCACCCTTATTTTGGTCACGGAATGCATAGCTCTCGAGGCCACCTGCCTACGCTTTCTTCCTACCACATGGGCCGCTCTCACTCAAATGAGGACCCCAGCGATGACCACTACTCTGGCGCTATGCGACATGCTAAGCGATCAAGGCCCAACTCTCCCAACTCTACAGCTCCCTCTTCGCCAACATTTTCTCACGACTCTCTGTCACCCACTCCCGACCACACGCCTATCGCTACTCCTGCTCATTCTCCTCGTCTGCGACCTTTCTCTACTGGCTATGAGCTGCCAAGTCTCCGAAATTTGTCTCTCCAGCACAATACCACGCCTGCTCTGGCCCCTATGGAGCCTCATCTCGAGCAGAATCAGTTCCAGCAGGGATCTGCCCCCACTACCCAGCCTCGCCCTACTGGGATGTCTTTGACGGACATCATCAGCCGGCCCGATGGATCTCAGCGAAAGCTGCCTGTTCCTCAGGTTCCCAAGGTGGCTGTCCAGGATCTACTTTCTGACAATGGCTTCAGCCACAGCGGCAGGAGCTCAGGAACCAGCAGTTTGGCCGGCGGCGATCTCATGGATCGAATGTAGAACACGACATGGCATCGCAACTCGCACGACTTGATGACGACTATGGGTTATAGAGGAATAGAAAGGAATGGCGTTTATGGTTTACAACATGACATTCGAATTACATCATCTCAAGGATTGAGTACTCGGCGAGGATTTGGGCGGCATTTGTGAAATGAAAGAAGCATTTTTTGTTCAAGGGCGGGTGGACTACGGCAACAACACCGAGTCCGGCCCATGTTTGGGAGGCGGCGGAAACTAGAATTCGAATTGCGGAGCACTTGGATTTTTTTTTACCCTCGGGCTTGCTTCGGGGGGCGTCGGAGGCTATCACTACCCCGTCGGAAAAGCAGTTCTATTTGATATCCACGGATTGTGTTCTCTTTACTTCTTGTTATGAAAGAAACTTCACTCCTGTTACAATTTCAATCAAAAAATATCATGTTAAATGTTTAATGTTCATGTCACCTATATTTTTTTTGCTTTGGATGTGCGGGATCACTCAACTCTGGAGAAGGGCCTTGATGGGACTTGATAATGGGTCGACTAGGGTCTGTGACACTCGGGTAAGCCTCAGCTCAGCTTTGTCAAGCCTGCGCTGGAGGCTAACGTTACGGGGTTGCCAGTGGCTCTTTGGAAGACTACGAAACTAATACTTGTACTCCGTATGGCTCACGGCGATAGATAGATACCTAGACCAGAAATGCAGCAATGTTATTCAACAAAAGCCCACGGTTGTAATGCTCACAGAGCTTATTACCCACTCCACTTGAGAACGAAGTAACCTGGCTGATCTGGATTGCCAGCGATGAACTCATCGTGTCGTAAACCTGCTGGCCGGATGGCTGATGTCAGGATCATCGCGTGTAAGTGATGGCCATTGCAATTCATGGAGGGGTGGCTATCTATTAGGGAATTCAAAGGTTCAACGCTGAATACCTTTACGTCGAGACATGCTTGGATGACGCTATCTCCGTTGCAGAAGGTTCAACCACGATCAAGGCGGAACCGCAGAATGGGAAGGGCCAATAGTACCTAGGTATTCTTCCCGCAATCCCTCTCTCTGTCTGAGGGGGAGTTATTTACTACCTAAGCAGGGCAAGCTTTGGTTTAGAATTTGGCTTTTCTTGGGGGCCAAGCCAAGCCCAGCTCGGCGTTGGTATGTACCCCCCTTTTTTTTATAGATAAACCAGATCAGACAGATCTAAGGATGCCGTCATATGACGGGGAGTTTGACGACAGCTGCTTACTGGGTAAGCATGATTGGAAGAGTTTATATCAGTCTGGGGATTCGGAAGGGAAATGCTCAGATGCATCGTAGCAGATGTTCTGATACTGTCCTGCTATTTTCTTTGTCTCTTTCGGACACATCCTGAAGATGTATGCGCATTCGATCAAAATGGCTGACGGGCAGAACTGCCACAATCTGATCTGCCGCATTCCCCCACCATGGATATGCACCATCACACCACACCCCATCCAAACCTGGGCATTCAACCCCAACCTAGGTAACTAGCCGGCCCCTGTGTGTCAGCGCCCCGATGGTGAAATTCTCAGATGGTGATGGTCATTACATGGGAAACAAGCAAAACTCCCAGGTGATATAATGCTGCACCGGTATTGGTAGACGCACTCATTCACTCTTGATGTTGTCTCTTTTCGCTTTTGCTATCTACCCATGCACATCCACCAGAGAATAAACCTTTTCGGCTTATGATATGAGCCTCCCTCCCGGCTATTCATATTTTCAGGGCGCAACAAGTGCCCCTCAGCGGCCGCGCCAGATGAGGAGACCTTTCAGTTTCGGGACGCAGGACCGCTGGGCTGAGAGTCTATCGGAAAGATTGAAGCCACAAATGCCCCCGATCGGTGTTTGTTGATAAGGCGATGTACAAGGCCCTCGACGAGTGAATGGGGGCTTCTTGACCTCCCCCGTGGGGTGTGCGCGTGTTGTTGGTGACACCAAAAAGCAAAAAGGTGAGAGGACAGAACATTTCAAACTCGTCCGCCAGTGCGCAAGCACGAAATTGCAATTCTGTCAATCTTCTAGGTGGCACGCCTCAACTTTGCATCAATTCGCCCATCGCATCACGTCAGCCCATGAGGGTTCAAGCCTTCCAGGCAACCTCTTAGGGTTCCCCCTAGATACGGGTACACTGATGACTGGCTCACACTGATAAGTCATACGTGGTCCTGAGACTGTTTCTGAGAGGTAGGACAACGGGCTTAGGATACGCGTCCTCCAGATACCAAGACTCTGTCTTTGCTCAGCCCGGCCAAACTCAGGGGTGCAGCTATTTTGATCTGGGACAGCAAAGGGACAAAGTATCATTGGATGTCTGATGATTTTTTACGCGCATACTGTCGGTGTACAAAACATGGTGGAAATTGTCTCTAAAAGCAAGCCTAATAATGTTCTGACGAAAGCATCCCCTTGTTCACGGTAAACCCCGTGTAATTGTTGGGAAGATTAAAATTCAACATGTGAAGTTCAAAAACAGCCATTTGCTGGCTGGCCCAGCTGTCTCGGGCCGGGATGGTCGGTGAAGGGATACCGCACCGGGCGATACGCGCCATGTACCACGCCTACATACAATGGCCTTGAATGGCAGATGCACACCAATGAAGTGTTGGGCAAGTGGGGGATTTTCTCAATGTGGCCGTCTTTCGTGGGCTGAGTGGTTCAACAACCCCTGGCCACGATAAGCACCAAGCTGAGGGAAACAGTCGGCTTGATCAGAGCAGTCGACTCACGGCAGCACAAGACCGGCACAGAAATGTAAGGCAACTTCACCGCTACAAACCAAGAGCGAATGAGAGCTGTACCAGAAATCGGATGCAAGCGAAATGGTGTGTAGCAGAAAGTGTGCGAACCAAGAAGAAACACCAATTCTGACAAGTTTTCCGAATCTGGGCTGGAGTCTAAGGATGGATTGCCAGTTGAAATCCGGGGATGGGTGGTGTGTGCGCTTCTCCCCCAAACTTTCGAGATGCAGGTGTGTGCCAACTTTAGCTCTGGGCTTGTCTTGTTTTCAATGCACTCCGTACTGTCTTTACTTCTTGGAGGGTGGTATTCGCGGGGTCAGGCAGCCTGACCACGTCCAGTGAAAACCGGGGTTGGAATGGCCGCTTTTGGCTGGCCGATAGGCGATGCCAACCTCACGTCGACGACGTCAAGTAACTGGCGATCACTTTTCCCTTCTGCTTAACCATGACTCCTGTTATCGCCCCAGGCGGCTGGAAGGCGCAAGGCACACACACATGCGCTGGCGATCGCGATTGCGGGCCGTTATCAAGCGACGATGATGTCTTATCTTGAAAAACGACAACTTTCTGGGGCCCCGGGGAAACGGGCCCAAATCAAAGGAAGACCAGAGCTCAGTCTCAGTCAGAATTTTGGCTCAGGGGTCTCTGATTCTCACGTTGAATCTGCTGGTCATCAAGTCTAGGAAGCAGAAGCCTAGTTGAATAAGACAGGTAGCAGAACTTCTGTTGGACTTGTCCCACGCTCCAACAGGAAAGCAGTGGTGCCAGTGCCCAGCCAGTTCACCCGTTCACAGCTAGGGGCTTAATATCAGCTGGGCCATGCATGTGGTCAGTTGTAACTTGGAAGGGATGGGATGGCGTCGTGATTTGAACAACGTGATCTCAATTCTGGATCGCAGGATCGCTCATTCATGTCCGGGTCATTGGAGCGGTAGAGCTCGTCCCGGGCCGGAGTTTGCGTGGGATGGTCGTGTAACGCATAATTGCTTCTTTCAAAGCTAACATGAACCATCGCGGGTATGGCGTTGAAGTTCCTGAGTTTGAGCTAGACCGTCTAAACTCAAACCAGGAATTTTGACCATTTCTTCTGAAGGGTTTCTTTGCGTTGTGATTGTACATAAAATGGCTGGCTGATCAGAGACCTATTGCCTACTTTGTGGGTGGAGTTGACCCTGAAGATTCTGAATGGTATTAGGATCGTACATACTTTGTGATCTGCGTGTGAAGTGGAGCATACTATTAATCACAATAGGATTGTTAACCTGGCTCACTCGGATGCTGTGGAATGTCCATGTATGTACTCCTTGTGTCAAGTTCATTTGTTATGTAACCTCCTTGCGTCTGGATCGAGATGATGTTTAAGGAGAGTGTGTTCATTGACGCGCAAGCAGAGGATGCGGACCGTTCAACAGAGGAGACCTGGATACCCAGTCATACCTTCCAACCCCGGACCACCTATGTGGGCGGGAGGGAAGGTGTTTCCAGACATATACCAGGCAAGCAACAAGCTCATCAGAAAGGAGCGATTGTTTGTAAGGACGGTTGGTTACTTCCCAGCATCGTATTTTATTATCCGACAAGGTACACCCACTTCAAAGGATGTTAGTTGATTGAAATGGCAAGAACTGACGTCGACATAGACTGCCCAGTACCCGCATCACGTTGTATGTAGATCTTTAATTCAATATCTCCATTGTTCGAGCATTTCTTGATTGACCTTTAGCCTGACTCGCATTCTTTCAATATCTGTTGGTGATGATGCAGTTAATATGGGGAAGAGAACCCCTGGGACAGACATACGTCAGTGGACCTGCCTATTTTTGTCAACCACAGACAACGTTCCATCACCCTCTGATACAGAGTACAGACAGGAACTTGCTGTAACAAGCCCCAGCCCATGATGCTTCCAGAAAAGCAAACCAACACAGGAAACTCAAGGGAAATTCTTAGAGAGCATGGTTCCTAAAATTTAGCCTGGCAAACAACGTTGATCAGCTAGTTGAAAGCAAAAATTCCTACGACAAAGAAGCACCTTGGATATCCGATGTATCCAGCGTATAGTTCCGCTGGCACTTCTAGAGACGGGCGCTCTACAGCGGATACATACTGATACGGCACGTATTTAAAAGCTGAGACAAGACGAGGCCAGGGAAATGAGGCCTTTTGAGGCTACTCTGACGAGGTCGAGGGCTGTCACAGCTCTTGGCTCAGTTGGCACCTTTCCCCTGAGAGCAAAGGTCACAAACGGACCCTGA